ATATGAAATGTATTCGTACCTGGGCCCTTTACGTTGCGGATGATGCTTCTGGTGGTATCGTCCATAAACTCGACTCTGACCTGAGTCACACCTCCACGAGAACCTAGAAACCGTCAGAACTTCTCCTTCCAATCTGCCAGATACCTCGCCCTCAGCGCGATCGTGCGAACGTACCGGTACGGCCCAAGACTCGGGTCACCTTGACAAGCTTGACTGGGACTTTGGAGGCATCCATATTTGCGATCTACTGACATCAGCTTCTGCTCTGCAATTTCGGCTTTCCGGTGGACTGACTTGGTTGAATGCGCGGGGATTCGAGGGTGTGAAAGTTGGAGTTTGCTTGAGTCTTGAAAGCGGGCTGTGGAAATGTCGAAAATTGATGAAAGTGCGATTGAGTGCCAGGTTTAGCGAGAGATGGCGCTTGTCCTAACACAGACTAGCACAAAATCCGCATTAGCGTACTGGCGTGGGGCATCGGCTGGCTGGCTTCTGCAAAAGTTCATGTGCAGCTGGAGAGTGCAGAGTGCAGAAACAGCACAACAACACTCATTATTAGTTACACCATTCCATTGCAAAACCCCACGCTCTCGACCCCAACCTGCAGCCGGATTGTGTTTCAGCCTGTGATACGCCGCCATTCACCTGTACCATTTTCGCCCGGCATAAACTCTGTGTTGCGAAGCAGATTGCCCACGATTCGAGAGATACCCCGCGATCGGACGCTGGGTCCTTTGTTCTTGCATAGAAAACCGTCCTCCCCCAGGTTTCCGAGACAATGGATCTCGTGAATCAGTAAGATACCACAAGATGCCTTTCTTTCACGATGGAGAGCTTCATGAATCGTTTGCTAATAACCCTTCAAGTCTAGAAGGCCGATTACTGTTTGCAGTGCCAAAGAGTGAGTCAACCCACACTGCCCCCCACCAAAGTCGAAGCTGACTTTTGTATTAGAGGGCCGGCTCCTACAGGCTGCACTCAACCTGCTTGAAGGTGCAGACATCCAATTCAGACGAGAATCCCGACTTGACATTGCTCTTGTCAAGAATCTGCCAATTGCTCTCGTTTTCCTACCAGCTGCCGATATCCCCACCTTCGTCGGAGAGGGCCGAGTCAGTATTGGTATTACCGGACGTGACACAGTCGCCGAACATGCTGCATTGGTTGAGTCGTCAAGGAGAGAAAGAGCTGAGTCTGGGAAGTCGACACCGATCGAGGATGATGGTCAAATGGGCTGCGAGGAGGTAATGGACTTGGGATTTGGCTCTTGCAAATTGCAGGTACAGGTGCCAGAAAAGGGACAATACGTCAAGTCATCCGACTTGATTGGAAAGAATATTGGCACAAGTTTTGTTCACCTAGCTGAGGATTACTTTGCTGCGTTGGAGGCTGAAGCAGCCGTTGGGGAGACAAATGGGGCAAAGTCAGGGCGTAAATTGAAGACAAAGATCATTGAACTCAGTGGAAGCGTCGAAGCTGCATGTGCTTTAGGTGTAGCTGATGGAATTGTTGATCTTGTTGGTAAGTGAAGTACCTACTTGTAGGGGTCAAAAGCTTACAATTCCAGAATCTGGGGAAACGATGAAAGCCGCAGGCCTCAAAGCGATCGATACAGTGGTGTCGAGTACGGCGATTCTGGTCAAGTCAAAGAATCCATCAAATCCGCAACTAGTCGAATTGATCGCCTCAAGAATCCGAGGTGTTATTAGTGAGTCAACTCCCCTAGTTCACATCCTTAGTACTGACCGATCACAGCTGCACAAAAATACGTTCTGTGCCAATACAATGTTCAGCGAATGAACTTGGTTGCTGCGACCAAGATCACCCCTGGAAGAAGAGCACCAACCATCAATGCTTTAGAGGAAGAAGGATGGGTCGCTGTCAGTTCGATGGTAGAAAAGAAGAGAATCGCAACAGTTATGGACGACTTGACGGAAATTGGAGCTGTTGATATCTTGGTACTGGATATTGCGAATACACGAACGGGCTGATGAAAGGATTTGAATACCCACATAGATTTTGTTCCAGGCTTGGAATGGATGGATGGATAAAAACAATACCACTGAATGGACCCCTAACAGGTCAGTTGCCTTTTTGTCTCGGATTTTAGCCTTGGCTCCAGCCTCACGTCTCTGAATGTTTGGATGTCTGGGAAAGCGGGTAGCTGGCAGGTGTCACCACGGGAGATCTTTGAGATGGCCAAGATCTTCGGTTTCAAAAGACCTCCAGCTCCTTCTAGCGTTCTGATCTGACAGCCAGTGCGTGTGTGGAATTGGACCAGAAGTCAACAGTTACTCCTCAACCGCGGAGTGCGCCTTTCCCAGATTTGTTGTAAGTACTCAAGCACTTAGCTTTCTGTTTAGACGTCTCTGCTACGTTTGAGAATTTCCCACATCATCCTTATCTTTCGTTTGATAGCGTCTGTTGTACGACACAATTTCGCGTCAACATATCATTCGCGGCAAGGACATGATCACAAGCCAATGCCATGTGTGCTCATATTAAACGCATCGCCAAGAATAAGGCTGAGACATGGGTAAATTTCTCATAAGCTGAGCAAGTCACGGGCCTAGATTTGATTTGTATGTAGTTTTGTCCGAAGGTCGGCATACGTTGGGCTGAAGGATGGCGCGCTTGTCGAAATGGGGCTTACATGGACGAACTGGTGAGCGTCGGTGTAGATTTTCGTTCTCAGCTGCTACTGTGCGATCCCTTGCGTAACTCTTGGTATCTGGCTGCTTTGATCCTGGTATCATACTATAAGATCTCACCTGCGGTTATGGTTTCCTCTTCAATATTCCTCTTCTTTTGTTACACAAACTCCCGTTTAGCGAATACAAGATGATAAAAGTTTATCTCTTGTCCATCGTCGCAGCACTGCTGACACTTTCCAGTGCTCACCCCCAGCGCTTTCCGGTCTGCATTGTTGGAGCTGGGCCATCTGGATTGACCGCGGCCAAGAGACTTGAAGACAAAGGCCGAAAGGTTGTAATTTTCGAGAAGCAAGATTCCGTAGGAGGAAAATGCCAAGCTGTCTACGAGACGTATGCTTTCTCTAAATATTTTGAAATGGTCCATCGTAGCTAATAGTCGTTTAAGAAACACATTTCATCCTTTGGGAGCTCTTCTCTTCTCGAATGCAAGCTATCCCGAGACTTTGAAGGTCATCGATGTTTCCGGTGTCCCTTCCGTTCCGTTTGTAACGTGAGTGCTTATTCCACTTCAGCACCTTCAGTCCATGTGCATGTGCTAACTTTGAATTCTACAGTGGTCAACGTTGGCTATATGATGTCGCAAGTGGAAGCACCGCGTTGTCGCCTGCCATCTCCTCGGCGTTCGCAACACTTGTTGGGCAGGAGTTTCAGCGATACGCCGTGTATTGGAACACCTTGTTTGCTCCGTACTCGGCGCTGAGATACAAGGTAAGCCGGCAAGACTTTTGCCCTCCAAGTATCGTCACTAACTTAATTACAGAATGGTGTTCCGCAGGAGCTGACGGTGACAACCGCGCAATGGCTCGCGAGCAACAACTACCAGGCTTTGCCCGTTTTGTTCGTTCAAGCGATGGTTGCTTTTGGTTATGGAGATCTCAGAGAAGTCCCAATTGTAAGTCCATCCCTCTTGAAGTGCCCTCCATATTTGTCCAGTTCCTCTCGTGATATGAAAATGTACTTCGAGGCAGCCGAAGGGACGGTCTTAGTCCACGCTTACTGATTTCGCCCCTTTAGCTGTACATGCTCCAGTATCTTACGCCAGATATCCTTGCATTCTTCGCCCGTATACATGGAGTCTATCTCATAGGCAAGTTAACGTAATCTTGCTACCTGAATCTTCTAACACGCTGCAGACTTCCACAAAGTGTGGGTAAACTGGACCAAGAAATCTATCAAGGGACCAATCTACCTTCGCAGCACAATTACCAAAATCGGCATGTCCCCTTAGATCGCTGAACAGCTGTAAAATAACTAACGACATTGTCAGATCGATCTGGTCCCTTCCCAAAAATCACCTACCAGAAAGCCGGCAACGACAAGCGCACTCCGAGATCCAGACCTGAAGTTCAACAATGCTCCTCAGTCATACTGGCCTTCCCACCCACTGTGCCCGCCCTTCAAGCCGCCAAGCTCAATCTGACCCCCGATGAAATCACTGTATTCTCGCCACTCACATTAATTTCCTACTTTTCGGGCGCAGTCCGTCTCCAAACACCACGAAACCTATCGTTCAGCGCCGCAAGCCCTCCCAACATCCCCGTCGCAGCAACCGGAGCCCCAGTCTCCCTACTCCACCTGTTCAACACATCAGACATCGCCACCACCTGGTCATGGGGAAACAACACATCCAAAGCCATTGCTCGCCAACTACTCAAAGAGACACTCTCGAAGATCAACAAAGATCCCACAGACCCCGCCGCCGTACCGGTGCCAGTAACCGACAAGGATATATTGGGTTTCCAACAGAATGATTACTTCCCCCACTTCGGACCTCAAGAACTAGCGGCAGGTTGGTATGATAAGTTTAATAAGCTTCAGGGCGTGAAGAATACGTACTTCGCTAGTGGCTTGAATGGATTTGAGACTGTGGAGTTTGCCCTTCGGGCTGGAAGTGAGATTGTGGAGACTTTCTTCTGATGGATATTGCGAAAGCAGAGCATAGTGAGTGGTGGGTCGCTGAATTTCTAGCAAGTTGGAATATGGAGAGTGGGACTCTTAGATTTTGCATATATTTTTGGATGTAGGAATAGGGGTTGTGTTATGTTGATAGGATAGGCGACGAGAAGCTTTTACCTACTAATCGATGCGAGCTGCAATTGCGATCAGAGACAAAATTATATGATAATTGATCATCGATTTTGCAGCGATTGTACAGTTCACGTGAATAACCAACCTGGTCAGGCTTCCCATTTCTACGCCCCTCTTCACCCCCGGGTCTGCCCCGTTCGCTTGACTGTTGTCGCTTCGGCTATGAAGGCCACATAAAAAATAGCAAAAAGCAAAAGGTTATGAGAAGAAGGGGATTCGAACCCCTGCAGGTTTCCCTATGAGAAAGCCCAGTGATTTTTAATCACGAAGAAAGTAGGTACATTCTTGAGCCACACGCCATAACCACTCGGCCATCTTCCCAGCCGTGACGAAATCACGCAATTGTGATTCATATACCTTATTTTGCTCTATACAGTCTAACAAAAAAAATGCGAAAAGTTTCCACCCCTCCTGACCGAAGGGCCTTTTAGCTCCTGTTTGCCGCAATAGTGATTGGACCCGCGGGTGAGCTCCGTCCCTCCGCAATAGTGGGAGACATATAACCTGCAAGTCACCTACCCTCAGTCCATCTCAACAACAACGCCAACATCTATCGACAACCCATCTCAATGCAACATCTCCATCGAAATTATGACTTAAACAATATTTAAATAATTAGCAGTATCATTATAGTTCTGTTTACCAACGTTTTACTACCACATAACTTGAGTCGTGTCGCTTCATAGCACATTTCTTCTTCAAAAAAAGCGGGCTTTGCGACCCTCCGCTGGGAGTCAACTTCCAAAATGTACTGAACATATATATAAAGATGCCTCACGTATAAAACCCCCTCCCTCGTAATGTTCCTGTAGTTATGCCTTCATTTACCGCTCGTTAATAAGTGATGCACGATGCTGCTGTTATCGTCGCCACTTTAGCGACGAAGTCGTCGCTCCGTGCGGTCATCACTCTATCAGAATCACCCGTATTCATGTACTAACCTCTTTGCCTCCCCAGACTCAAATAGATAAACACTCCCTCGCGCGAAATCCGCCCGATATAAGAAAGTTCTCCAACTCTAGGATATCGTATAAGCCCAAGCTGCAGGCTGTTATACCTGGAGTAACCATCGAGCTTGAGGATAATAATCTTGAGGACAATGATGTAAAGCAGAAAAGAATGACCAACGGGATTAGTAATGAGAACGCCTTTGATGTTCAGCAGGAAATCCGTCCTTTTATTGAGGCTGACACCGAAAGTGAATTGAGTAATATTACTGAGCAGAATATAAACTACTTGGATGGGGTCACTCTCCAGAGACATTCGTACCTGGAGATTAGATTAAGTAAAAAGGACAGTCTGGACGGCTGTACTGCGTTTTTTTTTATTTTTTTTAAAAAAAAACAGGATGCTCTGAGTCCTGTCGATATCTTCGATTTGAATAAGAATAAGTTCTCTCGACTCCCGAACCCGCAGCGCAAGTAGAGGTTCTGGATCAACCTGGAAACGAGCCCTTCACGATTCGCGGGTCTTGCCATACCAAGTCTAGAATCGTTTGATCTGCTGAGATATTAGGATACTCCCCAACCCCCTCGCATACGATTTCGAGTCGTATAAAAGTTCCGACAATCGAGTCTTGTTGTCTCCAAGCCCAGAGCCATTCAGACGTCTTGTCCATTCTGAGCCGAGACATCCCGGTAACGGCCACTTCTCCTGGCCCACTCCAGAGCCCGCCTTTGAGTTCGATACTCCTAAGGTCTTCTCGGGGCCAATAACGAATATGGATATCGAACCTACCACTCATCACCTGGCTCCAATTACCGAAGCTCACTCTCCAAAGTCAACAACTTCCTGTGAGGTTCAGGACATCAACTTGAAGCGACCCCACGAAGCACCACCTGTCGATGTTGGTTCCGAGCCTATTGTCGCCACTTATTCTCAGAATTGAATGTTGCTGGGCAAGGGAAACATGTTATCCACTGCAACCTCTCTTTCAACCTGTCCGCCGCCGCCTCAAAGATCACAGTTAGCTCGCACAGCAGGTCCGGCTCTCCACAAGCCTCTCCGCCACCACACTCCAAGACATCCTCTAGATCGCATCACCAAGCCAATCTCAAATCTACCACACACGCAAGCGACTAGCCACACCAGCTCGACAGCGCAACGAGACAAAAGCACATGATTTACACGGCTCCCAAGGACATGAGACCAATTGTAACTACGCAGGGATGCACGTTGCAAGTCTCATGAAACATGTGTTGACATCCCCTTCAAACTGTGGAAGACGGTTCTGTTCAATTTATATCCTGCTGAACGAGAAGCGTTTGAGCCTATTAGAATTACGTGCTTTTTCCCCCGATCGCTGATCTGCTGTCAGCCAGGAGATTGTCCTGGAGGGTGACGTAAGATCCCTGCAGATACATTCCGTTCAGTAGAGTGTCAATCCAGATTATTTGTATTCATTGGTCTCGTAATATTATCGAGATGGTATTATTTTGTTGAATTTTTAGGTTGTTACAATGGAGGTTCAATGACCCTCGTTTATTCACTTCGATACGGCGATGGTTTGAATTGAAGGATTTCTTTTGCTTGGGTTGGACACTGGAAGTAAATGCGAGGGTCGAGTAAGGACATATGGTTAGCAACATTGAACACGTTCTTTGGTGTCGTCTTAATTTCATTACCGATCTTTTTCATGTGTCTGTGAAGATTATGATCCAGTACTCCCACAACTTCCTTGTGTCAAATTCAAGAGCGTAACGTGGCGGTTCTCATTCACCTTCTTACATGTGGTGAGTATTCCTCAAGGACAGGTCAATCTTTCGTTATTGAAACAAAAGCTCTTTCCCTAGGTTCGTCCAGGAAAAATATTTTGGTCAAATATTACCGATAATTTCTCGCTTAGCTGGGGTGGTTTGACAGACCCCCTTTTCGTAGACTGCTTTTTGAGTTGAGGGAAAAAAGACCCATAGAAGGACAGGACATAGTCCAATGTAAGTAAGAACGTCTAACGGCATTTGATATCTGAAAAACAAACTCCCACTTTTCAATGGGAGAAGGAAACCGGTCGAGTTGGTTTTTCGTTTTTGTCTTCCGGAGCGCTTGTCATGTATATATTCTCGGTAATAATTATTAATCGATGTTTTGTCGCTCTCATTGGTTTGTTGCCGATTACTTTTATGCTGATATATTGAAGTAATAGCATGTAATCCTTTTAAGACGTTAGGATAAGAAACTGTACCAGCTTCTGTATTGAGCAAGGGCCTCCCCTATCCCCTATTTTGGTATCTCGTATGGCCGAAGCCGACAGAAATTTGCTTGATCCAATACTTATGCTTTGGCTATTTTTGGGGTTTTTTCCGTGTGAAGAGGTTGGCGATAGCATTGTGGTGGAATGATCGCTTTGAGCGGGCGCTGATGTCGTGGTGATGTGATGTGATGAACAAGCATGGGTTTGGTGAAAGAAGGTTAAGCGAGGATGAGACTGTGAATTCGAAGGAACTTCAGTTGAAGGACATGGCCTGTGCAATATCTCTTGCCGAGAAAACTACTGCATTTGGGATTTCACGAGACGCACTTATCTCTCTGACTCGTCAAATTGGAATGTAGTTCGCGAATGTTGCGAATTGGTATTTGAATTTGGAGCTTCCCTTCAAGACGTCAACCCCCTAGAAGCCGATCAGTATCACGAAGCAGATAACATAAATGTGAACTGGAATACTTGTTCACATCATGGTATAGCATAGTTATATTAGGATAAAATGGATGATGAATGCTTTCGCTCTAGCTTCGACCGCACCTTTGGCCTCAACGCATTTGTTGTTGCTCGTAATGGACTAAGCGAGACCAGTTATGAAATTCCGGGAAGACTATTAATTTACTGCATTTATGACAATTCAAGATGGAAGGTCATCAAATTTACGTATGGGAAGGCACTGATTTCCCTAGCATATACATAGTCTATACACCTCGTTCCCGAAACTGTTGGGAACAATTGGGGACGCAGATAGGCTACTATTCACGTGCCACTATTCGCTGCACACAATGCCGGACTGAATATTTAGAACCTGGGCTATGACTTCAGTTCGTTGAGGAAAGACTTGTGGATTTGAATACCATATGGACTGACCCATCAATATATATATATATTGGTTTCCACCATGATACACGTGCCAAGAGCTCTTGAATCAGACTAGCCTGGGAGACTCTCGCCCCACCTTCCAACCTCACTTGGCTTTCTAACTCATATCCACGCCCCTCTCAAGATCTGTTCTTCATCTGAAAAGAGGCTGGATCCTTCACCTCTCTGCTGTGACGATTCTACGATCCTCAAAGCTCAACTCGAAACTCAACTCAGTCACAAGTCAAACAGAGCTTCAAGGTGGTGTCATTCGCGTGTCCGAAAAGGGGGATCTACTGGGTGCCTAGAGAGCTTAGAGCTGTCGCATAATTATTGTGAACCCCACAGGCTACGAAAATATGGCCTTTCGAGCAAGTCCGTAAACTGAGCCGATATTCGATACCGCGTTTTGATCTCTCCTCATCATGCCAGGTCGTAGGGCATGTGACAGATGTTTCAAGTACAAGCAAAAATGCAATTTCGACGACGGCGAAGAGGCGTGCCTGGAATGTGAACTGTCTAAGTCGGCATGTACATCATCACGTTTGCGAGTCCGGCAAGGACGACGTCCAAAGGTCAAGAAGCTTGGCCCAGAAGGCTCAGTCCAAGTCTGGGATGTTAAAAGTCCATCGAACAGCATTGTCACAATCACCAAGAAACTCAACCCAGAAGGCTCTGTCCGGGTACGGGATCTTGGAAGTCCATCGAGAAGTGCAGTCGCACCCATCGAAAGCTACACATACAAACCGCAAGATTTACACCGACTTCTGAGCTTCAATTATTGGGGATCTCCCAAGTTTCTCACGGTAGCAGAGCTCACTCTGGACTTACGAGAGAGTGGCCTGGAAACATATCCCATCTCCCACGACAGCCAACTCACATCTATGGCATCTCCGTTCCAAGTCGACTCACCTGAAGTTCTCAAACTATTCACTGATACCTACGACTTATTTATGCTCGGTCCGAGTTTTGCTTGGGAAATGCGTGCTGCTTTCCAACACTCTTACCTCTGTTCGCCAGTTCTGCTGCACGACATCATCGCTGTGCTGTGGGCGACGGTCAAGCGGGCCAGGAACAACGTAGCCGCGTGGGACCAAGACGATGTGGCTCGAGGTGCGGTTAGCCTGCAGCAATTGCGAACTGCAAAGATTTCTGGCATTGGGGACGCTCTGGCAATCCTGGCCCTAGGGCAAACTCTGGCGGCTTTTGACCTACTTACCAGCTGCAACGGGTCAACGTCTATCTTGCGCTACTCCCTTGC